TTGTTCAATTTAGAGATATTAATCTTAATTTAAAACGTACGTCAAACACCATTTTTTTTTTCCCCAGTGATAAATATTCTATAGAGCCGGCTAAGTGGCGGCTTGCGGGCCCTACTTTCCTGACCGCTACCCCCTCCACTGCATCCTTCTCTCCACTACATTGAAATTTCCTCGCCCATGAGCTTCCCTCTCTCAGCAAGTGGAGAGAAGGATGCAGTGGAGGGGGTAGTGCCAGCGATCAGTAAAGTAGGGACAAGCGATCGCGGGCCGCCAGTTAGCCACCTCTGTTTTAGCAAACGAATGCTTTATCTTCGCTTCGTTTAATGGGCAGAAAACACGTGTTTCACACTTATAAAACATCCCGTATCTACGCACGAATAACTTAGACGCTATTGATATATCCGACGCTCGTGGAAAGTCTCAGCTCGAGTTCACCCGGGATCGCGAACAGGTACAGAGCCCGGTTTTCTTTTCTAAAACACTAACATCAAATGTACGTACGCACGATCAATTAACTGCTAGCTTAATTAAGAGTATTATACGGCTGCGAAGTCTTTAGATACGGAAGCATATACTTTGGACGTATGTACGACGCGAGCGTGTTCACGCCGGTAGTTCTTTCGCTTTCGCATTTGCGTTAACATTGCAACACACGTTCGAGCATGGCCGAACTGTTGCCGTCGTCACGTAGCACGACTGTACGAACTGACGGCCGATGCGTCGGCGTGTGCCTTTGCTCGCGTCTCTGGCTTTCTCCGTTCGATTATGAAACTATTGCGGGCTCGTGTTATGCATTTTGAACGGTTGTTCATCGGTACACGGGAACGCGATCGATCGTTTCGAGATTACGAAATGTGTATGCGAGCGAGATCTTAGCTACTCCCTACCGATCGTTTACGAGCGTATGATGCCGTAGGTATATCGGACCATAAGGCGAGAATGGGACGATTGTTATGGGACTGTTGGGTATTTCGTTATATGGCGCGTCTTTTCAGAATAACGTGTGTTAAGGGGCGAGGATACAGCACGCGTTCAATCCTTCGGAAGATTCGGAACACGTAACAATACAATTTGAATTTAAATCTGTGTTTCTGATTTCCGATACGATTTCAGAAATCGTATCTATGCGGGTTTCAATGGAAATCTTCTTCCAATGATATCACTGAATCGTGAACATGTGTATTGGCGTATTGGCGTACGTTACTGCTCATAGGATTTTGTAAAGAAACGTTCTTTACGAAAGATTAAGGATTATTTAAAAGCGAGCGCGTTCAATTCTTTCTGATCGATTGAAAAACGAAACTCCGTGTGAATTGCAGTTTCCTAACGTGCCAACAGTTATACACAACGTCTGCCTCTATTACTTCCCGTTGCGTAATCCCCGCGACAGTAGATATACCTACGTGTCGCATCGCTCAGCTATCGATTCTAATTACCTTGCTATCATGCTATCGGCGTATATAGTGTTCACTTAGTTACGAATACTACGAGGTGCACGACGATAATCGTTTACTTTAGCTATCGATCGCGTATCTTTGATTAAAAAAAAAAAAAAAAAACTCACCCCTAGCCACCGCGAATCGTCAAACGTGTAAATTATTATGTCAGTGTGTAAAAACGATGAAAAAAAAAAGAAAAGAAAAAAGAAAGAAATTTCTCATCGTGTAAATATTCGAAACGTCACTGATGATAATCACTCGTCGCGTTTCCTCGACGATGTGAACGTAAATAGATGTTCGTTGAGTCGCGGGATTTCGAGATCCCGTGGCATTCATATTCTCGCGCGCGTAGAATAGAACGGAAGGAAGCGGGTGTAATGGTATTGTCCGCGTAATATCTTGTCACGTGATTTGACGTGATATCGACTTTCGCGTTTTCACGTTCTGTCAAGCGGAATGCCGGTACGTTGTAAAATGCAGGGGGAGTGGGAGGGATCGACGAGAATTTTACCACCGTGTTACGTTGAAGAATGGAACAGATTCGAAATTGCACCTTCTGTTGGCACAATTCTCAGATAAATCGTGAACGTAGCTACTTCGCGAGGCCGTGTTCAGTCACGTGGTAGAATGGAAACAGAGTTTTTGTAGAAACAAAATTTAACAATTTAAAAAAAAAAACATCTTTTTAGCTGCGTACAGCGCCAGTTTAAAATGCTAGTACTTGTTAAAAAAGAAAAAAAGACATTTTGTTAATAGAAACAAAAATTGAAATCTTCAGACGTTCTGAATCGTGAATTAAAGAGTGTTCTATGTCACGATGTCCGGAAGAATTTATTATTTATTCTTCGATCTTGAAATTTCGAATTTTGTCGGGTCCTTGCTTTAAATTTCGTCTTGTTTCTTATTTCAATTTTGAATTACAATGGCGAAGCAAAATATTTAATTGCAAATATTTAATTACTATTTTACGAGTCAATCAACTCTCCAAAAAAAAAAGAGGAATAAAGAAATCAGCGTTTCCAGAAATTCTCGAAAAGCGATATACGTATATGTAATTGGTTTTCCCGTCTTTCGATTACGCGTATTATTAATTGAAATGCCAATTTCCAGGGTAAATGCCACTGTAGTTGAAATTACACGAACGGTGCTTTTTATTGGTTTTCGAGGTGATCGATAAACGGCCGGGGCACGAAGCGCGGGATTCGTGTCTCTCTGGCGAAACTATCGTCGATCACACAAATATCGTCGTGTCCCTTCCCCCCCCCCTTCCCCCCTACGTGATACGCCCGTGAATCGAAATACCGATGGCCGGTGAATCGATTCTCCCTTTCGCTCCTATTCGTTCCTTCGCGCCTCCTCGGAAGCGATTGATTTCGATGTGCACGAGATGAACGAGATCTTTCTCTACTCCTCTTTTCAGCCGTGCCTGCGCGATTTGCCTGCCGTCCTCTCTTCGTCGACATCGTTTTTTTTTTTTTCTCGATGAACCATCCCTGACGAGTTCTACGAGTTCTAGCATTCAGCGCGCACTCACCTCGCTTGGAAATTTGTGCGGTTTAATTGGGAAGAATTAATTAATTACCCGTTGGTTGGTTCGGCGTTTCTAGGGTATTTTAATCTCTGCTGTCGAATGAATTCTGGAGCGTGTAAATGCGTTGGAGTACTAGTTCCTTAAATACTACGTTCGATGGTTGTTTGTAACAGTGGCTAACAGAATTGCACGATATCTAAAAAAAAAAAAAAAAAACAAAAAAACGTACGATTTGCTGAATATTTGGAAATTAAAGAATGTCAGTTATTTTGTTAAAATTTAGTACAATTCCATTACAATTTTCTTAGATTCTGAGAACAATTAACGTTGAACGTGAGAAATCGTATTTAAATACAGTACAATTTTCAGTGGCCACTGTCGTCGAAGATCAAGATGTATCGATAGATCGGAGTCTCGTGACTCGTAACTACTTGCGGCAACAAACGCTGCAGATAGTCTACCGCTTTACCTTTCGACTGTGCAAAGATTGCACACACCTGTTTCTACGCACGCGTGCGCGAATGCGGGCAAAAGAGCCACGAGAGAAGAATCGTGAATGGAGACACGCGTAAACGTCGAGCGTGACTTGGTCGATTCGTGAGAACTTATGAAAGACTACTATCGTTTCCCTGCAAACACGTGTCGTGGAAACATTAATTGACCGAATAATACTTATAGCCCCTTATTCTCGCGAATTCCCTCGCCAGACCGCGCAGGCACGCGGCTTTCCTATCTATTACTACTACCTTAAAGCGTATCGATTATTCAAGCACCATCTAATTACCCCTAATGTATCTATTTTAATTATGTAAGCCTCGTATTATTTTAGCCCGTCACTCTGCGATTATTTACTCTTGGTTGTAATCACTAACGGCGATCTCGAAATCGATCGAATCGTCGATTCACGATCACCGATCTGTTTGTTTTTTTTTCTTTTTTTTTTTTCCATGGATCCTCGTGCACTTGCAGATTCTCGTCATCTACAAGTACGTGTATTGCTTGGCCAAGCGTCAGTGACGTTGCACTTGCTGAATTGACTAGTACCATCGTTCATTGTGTCGTTCGTTACTAAATCGTGTTCGTCATACGGTTTTGCGCGTCGATTTCGTGGTCCTGCATTTTCGCGATCGACGCGAAAACAGACCACGAGGAGACGTGATACACGTCCGGCAAAGCTTCACTTTTCCATCTCTTGCGTCGTAGTATCGTAGTACGTATTTTAGTATTGACTGGATGCGCCATGATTGGATGGCAGATATTGCGGTTACGCTTAACGCGCGAAATCGTGCTTAAATTCGTACGTTGCTTCGTTTTACGGTCCATTTGTACGCGTACAGCGTACTCGACACTCGCTGGTGAAAAAAGAAGCCATGAATCACGCGCTCATAGTAATAATTGTATCGAATGATCGCTGAATGGTACACTGAACCGGTAAAATAGTTTCAAGAAAATGGTGTTCTCTTGCTGGTGGAAATCGGGTGACACAAGTTAGCGACCGTCGTCGTATTTCGTTCGCTTTTCTAGATTTTACAGCTAGATCGTGGTTCTTGATAATGACGTAGAAAAATTAATACTTGCAGGTCGTGGACTCGTGTCGCTCGATTTCTCTCGGTTAATTCTGTGCAGGATGTTAAAGGAATCTTTCTGATATGTTTCCAGGACGAAAAAAGTACGTAATACCTTGATTAAAAAATGTTGAACCAAACTAAGGTTCTCGCTAGTCGGAATACAGACAAATACTTTCCATTTACTGCGAACAAACGAAATCAAAAATATCGTCAACGATCTAAAATTATCCTTCGTCAGCTATTAACATCCTACACGTGGAATATAGTCAAAAACCTACCACTACTACTACTACTATTATTATCCAACGTAACCGAATCGTTATATCAACCCATCGTGTTCGAACATATACCAGAAATTAGCTTACACGTGTAAATCACTTAACTCTACGATTTGACCCAATCTCCGAATCTCGAGTACGCCTTACAGAGGTTTTCGTGTCCTCACTTTATCATGATACTCACTGCCGTGGGTCCCTGGGAGATAGTGGTCTCCTTGGAGGCCTCCTCGATTTCCTTCAACTTCTCCTCCGCCTTTCTCTCCTTCAACGCTTTCAGAAGCTTCCATTTCGATCCAGGCGGACCAGGACTCACCTGGCCTTCCTTTAACGTCGTGTCCGAGCTGCCGCAGGTCGACGAATCGATTTTGATCTTTGGCAAGCTCAAGGTAGCCGTGGTAGTCGTCTCGGCGCTGCCAGCTTCGTCGTGTTCCATGCCTTCGAGCACCGTACTCTCAGAATCCCAAGCACCCGGGATGCTGACGGAGACCTCGCTAGGCGGCACGCTTACGCTACCTTCGCGAGAGATCGATTCCGAGCCAGGGTGGATCTTCTCACCGTGTCGAAAGGTCGAGCCGCTGGAACTGCGTCTCGATGGTTGTTCGTCCGCGTCTTTCGGCAGTTCCTCCTCTTCCTCTTCGTCCATCGACTGCACGGGACTGTCGGGGCCAGAAGTCTCCCCGGAGGAGCCTTCCTCCATAGACGAGGGCGTTTTCTCTTTCTTCGCTTCCTCCTCGTGCGCCCAGGTGTGATAGTCGGTCACCCTCGCGAACACCGCCTCGACACTCTCCGCGGATTTTCGCTTTGGGATCGGTTTCTCGTCCCGATACCTGTCTCGCTCGTCGATCCGACGATCCTTCGCCACCGTTCCATTCATTTTACTCGCTCGCGCCTCCTCGCCTTTCTCCTCCTTCGTCTGCTCCTTCGATATGGTGCTCGCCTTCATTTTCAACTCTTTCAAGACGAACGACATCTTCTGCTTCACCGTTTCATCCGGTTGATAGTGATCAGCCTCCTCCGGCTCCTCCACCAGTACCTCGCCCATCTCTATCTCTATCTGCGACTGCCTCTCCAGTTCCTCGAGCTTCCTCAGCTCGTATCGATACCACTCGTCCTCGGAGTCGATCGAGTCCTCCGTACTTTGCCGCCTGGAGGAGACCCTCGACGTGCTTCGATAGGAATGCGTGCTACGATTGTCCTCGTCCAATTCGCCCGGCCTCGAGCCGGTCCACGGAATCTCGAGGGACTGCTGATGCCGCGGCAGGAATCGACTGCCTGGCGTTTGCCCTCTCGTGCTCGACGCGGATGGGCTTCCTTCCGACGGCGGTGCCTCCTCCGATATGCTGGTCACCAGTTCCGGCAGCCTGGTGCTGCTGGATTTCTCGCTCTTCTCGCTCTTCTCCGACATGTCTTCCGGATACTCGAAGCTCGTCTCGAGTGTTTGGACGGTACCCTCGTCGGACTTTTTCTCGGTGCTGCCCTCCTCGCTGGGAGGCTGCTCGTCAGAAACAGTGGAGGATTGTCTCTGTCGGTACTTGCCTAACGCTCTGGACACCGCGAATTCCATGCTCGCACCACCCATCAGTGTCACCGGGGGAAGTTTCGGGGCTTTTTCGTTGGGTGCTTCGTCCGAGCTGCCGGTGGATCGTTTGATGTCTCCGACAGTTTGGAATATCGACGAGCCACCAGAGCCGGAACCTGTGCTCTTCCCAGACGTTTCTTCTTCGAAACCACCGATCTGATCAGACATCTCACGATCCACGTCTTTTTTCTGATCCTTTTCTTTGGCCCAGCCATCTTGTAGCGCTTGCTGCTGTAATTGCTCCTGGTGCTGTTGAATCTGCTGTTGAAGGGCTTGCTGTTGCTGCTGCAGATTCTGCTGCTGCTGCTGCTGTTGTTGCTGCTGCTGTTGTTGTTGTTGTTGCTGCTGCTGTTGTTGCTGCTGCTGCTGCTGCTGTATATAGTCTTTTTGTTGCAAAGGTAATGGCTGAGCGGTAAGTTGCTGCTGTTGTGGAATCGGCTGGGGTGCCTGTTTGCGCTTCGTGCTAGCTGTTTTCACCTTGGCAAAGAACGGAGGTTCTTGATTTACGTCCGACATCACACTGTCCTCATCCTCCGACAGGCCACTCTGTCTTCCACTGCTCCACTCTGTTTCCGATTGTTCGGGATCCGACAGGGATTGAGACTGATGACTTCGCCTCTTGGCTTTCTGTAAGATCCCAGACACGGTAGACACCAGCGTGTGTTTCTTCTTCTTTCTGGCTGCCTGGCCTCGTCCACGACCTCTGGCCATATTCGCATCCTGCGGCAGCCTCTGCTGTTGCTCCTGAGACATGTCCAAGTCTTCCCTTCTCACTCCGCCGGGTAACGAGTGACTTCTGTGCCTCTTGCTCAGATGCAAGTCCGGCAACCAGTTGCTCATCGAGCTCATCGCGTTTTTCAACGACGAGCCGCGTCTCATCTTCTTGCCAGCTTTCGCGTTCTCCATCTCGTGGTCCTTCAAATTCGACGCGATGCTGATGTACCCCGATTGGGACACAATCACGCTCGATGCGTCGTAGTATTCGCCCTGCTGATGTTGCGTCTGATCGATTGGCATCCTGCCACCTGTTTCATGATCTTGTATGTACTGATGTTCCCGTTGCCATTGTCTCTGGTATCCGTCGGTGAGTTGTGCGCTTTCGGTGCTGGTTAGTCTTTGACTGTACGGCTGGTACTGCTGTTGATAGGCTTGCGGGTAATTTTGATTCGCGTACGTGTGATGATACTGATGGGCTTGGTACGCTGGTGGTTGAGGATACCTTCTGTCGGTGTAGGGACTCTGGGCGTAGCTACCGTCCGAAGTCAGCGATCTGATGCTAGATGACGTCGAGTCGTGAGGAATCTGATCCTCCATCGAGTTCAACCACGAGGTCTCGTTCGTCTCGGTTCGTGGCAGATTCGCGCTTGTCGGGTAATACGACAACGCGTCCGTGATGTTCCCCGTGGGGAACATTGTGCGATACATCGCGGCTTTGTACCCTTCGTGGTTCGTCATTCCGTCCGTGTACGCGCTGGCTCTCAGAGGTTTCTTCAGATGAGCCGCCACTGCACCCGACTCCGTATACTGGACAGCTGTGTAATTGTCCTGATAGCTGTTATATTGATCCACTGCGTCTGGATAGTAAGCGGTGGTGGTGGTTTTCGGGCCATAGCCACCGGCGCTGCTCGTATAAACACTCGTGATAGCCTGTTGTCGATTGCTCCCAGCCACGGAGTAAATGGCAGGTTGTTCGGACCTGTATACGTAGTCGATCGCCGTAGTTCCAGGCGGCACAGTGTCGTAGGTGTGCTGCAAAGCTTGCTGGCGACCTCGTTTCTTCGGACTCTGACAGGTGGTTGCGGTAGGTGCCGGAGGAGGCACGAAGCTGTAGTCTTCCTTGGTCGTCGGTGTCTTTATCGACGTGTAACCAGACAGATGGTTCATAGCCGCGGTGTAGGAGTGGCTGGTAACGGTGAACGTGACCGCGGTGGTGCTTGCGAAAGCGTCCCTCCCTTCCGGCGTGTCGTACAGCGGTTCCTGCGTGATGACAGTGGTTGTAGTTTCCGGTAAAGGCGGGATCGGACTGGCAGATCTGACGGTCGTTGTACTTGGGATTAGAGTCGCTCTGGCGTGGTCCACCGAGTACGAAGTGAACATTTTGGCGATGGAACTCTTCGGCGAGCTCGGCGATTTATCCAAGCTGCTCCATCCGCTCATGGAAGATAGGCCGGAGTCAGATTTAGCTGCGACGATGTTGGCCACGCTTGGCTTGGCTGTGTGCTTAGGCGAGACTCGCGGTGACTTAGGCGAGTGAGGGGTTCGTGGGCTTAGGCGACCTTGTTCCAGGGAGACGAGCTTCTCCGCGCTTCTCAAGAACGTGGGACTCTGAGGTCGTTTTGTCTCGGGCTCCCTCTTGTCGGGTCCTGGCATGAGGAACGGCTCGGTCGAGTCTCGAGGAGCTGGCGGCGGTGGCGAGCTGGGCGACGGACTCGGAGGCGTTCTACTTTCTTGGAATTCTAAATTCAGTCGAGCAGCGCTGCCGAAATAGCCGTCCTGCCTGGTTCGAAGACTCTGCACACTGTGGACGCTGTGCACGCTGTGGACGCTTCCCGCCGAGTGGGTGGGAGATGGGACTTTGTCGGTGGTGGTGCTGTAAATGGTGGGCGAGGCGCAGGTGACTGCTGCGAAACTCTCGACCATGAGATCGGTCAGTTCTTTGTTTTCCGCGTAGCCTTTGGCGAAGCTACCGACGTCGATCGGCAACTGGATCACTGGCTCCGGGCTCTTCTCGCGTACAGTCGTTGCGTAAGTACCCAGCCTAGGAGGTGTGTAGGTACTCGAAATCGAATCCAAGTTGGTTCTGGACGTGGACGTCAGTCTCGGTGAAATTGACCTGGTAGTGAAGTCACCGTCGGTGGCCAGACCGCTGTCAGTGCTGACTCTTGAGATCGATCGACCGGTTGATCCGGGACTTTTCGAAAAAGTCCAACTGTCAACGTCGGTTTCCGCGTAAATCTTTCTCAGCTGCTCGTCTATGCTGCTCGCCTCTTCCGCCAGCTTCGCTTCAGCCTCGGAATTGTATTGCCTCTTCGGTGAGTCCATCAGCTTCGACTGCAGTTCTATCAGGTTCTGCGAATCCTTTTGCAATTTATTGGTCAACCGGTCCAGCTCGTGCAGTTTCTCCAGAGCGACCTGGTCGATGGAACTGAGTCTGGAGAGCTGGGCGAGATCCTGTTCGCTGACGCAGGGCGTGTTCCCCCGGTAACTTTTGTAATCAGCCGCGCTGAACACCTCGCCCTCGTCCTCGTCTGCCTCGTCCTCCTTTTTCGTCACCGCTTCCTGAATCTCCTCCTTCGTCGGTTTCGTTGCCAGCTCCTCGAGCTCCTTCTCTTTGGACATCGTCTTGTCGAACATGTCTCTCCCCTCCGTTTCTTTCTTTCCATTCACGTCCTCGTCCTCCGCCTCTTCCCAGATCATGCCCAACTGCGACGTCGGCCTGGACGTGTCGCCGCAGATCAAGTCTTCCCTGTACGCGTTGTTCAGGCTCCTGTAGAACGCCTCGTCCGGTATGTTGCTCTCCTCCGCCAGTGTCTCCAGAGTGTCCAAGTTCCTCACGTTTCTGTGCATGTCGGTGACCACCGCGGCAGCGGTCGAACTGTCCTGCGTCAGCCCGTGCATCCTCGCGATCTCTTGCTGGGCTAGTTTCTCTCTGATCGCGTTCGTCTCTTCGATACCCATTGTTGCGCCTATGCTCTTCGCGATCGCGTCCAGCTCGCCAACGGTGCTCTGCTGATTGGCCAACGTCTCCTCCACCGGCACGTTGCTGGTCTCGTGTGTACCGCCGTTCGCGTAGAATTCGATCAATTGGCTGATTACCGTTTGTTGCTCGTATAGGAGGCCCTCCAGCTTCTCGAGCCTCTCCCACATCTTGATGTACTCCTGACTAAGCAGATCCAACGCCCTCCAGGCGTACCTCAGCTCGTTCTCCAACGTGTTTAGCCTCGTGCCGAGTCTCTCCATGTAATCTCCGATTATGTAGTCGATGTTGCCGTCCGCGGTGGTGGCGTTGTAGGCCGGTAGGGCTGGCGAGTGAGCCCTTGGACTGGTTGGGGCTGGCCCACCCAACTTCGTCGAGTCCATTTTCATCAAGTTTGCGTTCGCGATTGACTTGCGGTACGTCGAATCGACCCCGTGTGTGTTCCTGTGTTTTTAAGCTTCGACGATCCACCAAGTACGATATTTAGGCTGTCGATGATCCCTGAGCCGACTCATCGTCACGCGTATGTATGTGTTGTGACTCGAACGAAAAAAACAGACTTAGAGCGTTCCCCGTGGCCTGGTGAGGAACGTGGATATGTCGGACGCTTCGACGTATCCAACGGAGACGTCCGACGCGATGAAACCACGGTAACTCGACGCACTGTGCACGTTGTCGATCTCCATGTCGATTGTCCTCTTTCTTTCTTCTTTTTAACTTTGTTTTAACTCTGTTCACTTGTTCACACTTTGATCCGTTCACTCGTTGCGTCACGCGTTATTTATATTTATATTTATATATAATATATATATATGAATTTATTTATTTATTGTATATATATATATATGTCGTTTCACTCTTGTCTTTCGGTTCTCTTTTCAACTCTGTTCTTCCGTTACACTAGAGCTGCGTGCACAAAGTTTGATCGTTGTCGGGCGCGATCTTGACGAACCGTTCGAGATCGCGCGACACTCTGCAAATGGCACTTCGTAACCAGTCTCGTGGGTTCATGCCGCTGCCGCTATCTGCAAAACAGGAGCAAACGGGTTGCCGTGGCTTAGTACGAGACGCGCTCGTGCCGAGCCACCGCTGACACAGTTTCCATGGTGCTGGAGTTATCCTAACTCGTAAAAAGTACGTTAATGCTCGGGTAAAGGGGGCAAGAACTTCGATCAGAAAGATCCACGGGACATTGGCTTATTTCCTATGTCATTGAATCGACGTGCATCTCCTGTCACGTCCGACTCGCTTCCCTCCATAAAACGTGAATATAAATGATATCATAAAGTCTGAACAACTGAAAGAAAAAAAAAAAAAAAAAAAAAAAAAAAAAAAAAAAAAAAAAAAAAAAANAAAAAGTCTGAAAAACTGAAAAAAAAAAAAAAAAAAAAAAAAAAAAACACTGGACGAATGAGAAAAGGAAAGAGAACATTTCTCTCGTGTTATTTTAATAACAAATCAATGCAGAAAATATACGAAAAGATACGAAACTTTGTCAGATTGCCAGAGCAGAAACCATCCTCTCCAAATTGACTTTCAATTGCCACTTAATCGTTACAAAACCATCCTCCACGTCGACTTCGGGCTCCTTAATTGATAAATAAATCAACCCGAATAACATCTCGGTGGCTAAAATGGGCATTAATATTCGCGGTGTAGCATCTGTTCTTTTTTTTTTTTTACTTCAGCTTTAATATCGTAGGTTGCGTGAAGTTGTGGATTTGGCTGTTGGGGATTTGTTGCCCGGGAATCCGAAATCAGGGCGACGAGGTTTCGTTGGCGGGGACCATAAATTAGAGAGGCCATTAGTCGCGCGCCCAGGTGTTTCGTAACGCTCGTGCATAATCAAAGCGTACATCGCCGGGGCGAAAAAGACGTGCGCGAAGTAATTGCTGCAGCTCGGGGATCGGATTTCCGTCAACGTTGATTTCACCTTGCGATTGGTTCCAGTGCTCTCGATTGTTCGACAAATGGAGGAACTGTTGGTCGAGACGAGCAATGGACCAAGAATATTCGCCGTTGTAAAGAATTTCCTTGTCCGCTCGATGAGAATTACGAGGATCGTTCGTGAATAACAATACTCTGGCTTCGAGCAGAAAATTTTGAGACTGATTACTCGAGGTTTTGCTCGATGAGTGCATCACGTTACGTAATATGGTGTAATTTTTCATGAAAATTTTAATTACCGATGAATTTTATCAGGATTAAATTCCTTGATCAAATTATTTCATTCCGTTTCATTTAATTTCACTTTATGAAATATTTCATTAACCTTTTACTGATCATCAGATTCGTAATCCCGTAACTTTACAGAAATTTTACTCGGAAATTTTAATTCTCCGTTCGAGATCCTCCACATACTGTGTAGTGGTGATTTTTAGGAAGCTTAGCGTGTAATTCACCTCCGTCACATTTGCAATTTCACTGTATTGACACTGGGGATCGTTACACTATCTAAGCAGAATTCGCTTGCACGTATCTATCGATCTTCACTGCTGCATTATTCCAGCAATCTCTGTTCATTACAAGCCACGTGTTCTAATCAGCAACAACGAAGGCTCGCTGCGCGAGATTCTCTGGCGTGTCACGCAAGATCAATCGATCTCACCTCCCCCGTTCAGACAACATTCGAGGAATCGAAGTTTCAAATTATTTATATAGGAAATATTCTGCTTCGTTGGCCAAGACGCGATGTTAAAGATAAAAAACGACCAAACGTCGTCGAAATGATGAATTAGCTGACGCGAGTGTGCGATTCTTCTGTGCAACTCCCGGAAGAGACGTTCCTTTTATGACAGTCGTAGAATCGCGTTTATGACGTGTCGGGCAGACGAGTGAATAAAAAATTCAAGCACCGTGAGTTTGCGACGAGCTCACGACGTTTTACGAAACGAACTTTACGCGGAAGTTCAAGTTTCACGTAAGATTCAATCATTTTGATACGCAATGGCGATTTCTACAAATTTCGGACTCACGTTGGGTTTCCTTGCGACAATTAACGATTTCCCTATGTTATTAATAGTGACTTTAGATTCTCAGATAATTCTTAATCAAGTCTTAGTTGTGACGCTAAGTTCGGTTATTACAGACAGCAAGTGATATCCTGATATCGAAATTTTCAGAATTATCATTTTCACATCGAAATTTTTATCATCACAGCCACTGCGTTTGAAATTAGTTGCATCAATATTTGTTAAAAGTATGAAGCAATCTACACGGAGACATAACAGTACACGTGATCTAGGTTTTCCTCCAAGTATTAATATCTTTTTTATTCTTCTTCTTCACGTGTTGTCCCCAGACGACAATCTCCGGTTGAAACAATATTTGCACGTTCGCATCTTCTTGACGAACGTCGGGATAAATATAATACGTGGCGTGTGTGCGTCGCAAATATTGGAAAATCAATAATTACGCTCGTAAATATAACAAATGTTGTGCAGCTGCTGAATTTCGACGATATTCTCTTCGCGGTCGTGCAGAGTTGACGATTACGTGTGTTCCACATCGACGTGAGAGGGGATCGATAACATTCCTCGATGCCATTACGACAAGTGTTCTGTTGCTAAATGCAATTCGATCGATCAACGAGGCATTCAACGTGCTAACCGCAGAATACTTTGCAACTTAGGTCGAACGAAAAAAGGAAAAAAGAAAAAAAAAAAACGTAGTAAACTGTTAACCCAGTTTTTTCTTTTTACATATTCCTCAGAGCATCTCGATTAATTACCGATGCGGAAGAATCGTCGCATCTTCTTTCATGGCGCGTGTAAATTATTTATTGGCAAGGAATTGTAAACGTTCAAACTTTGCTAACTTGCAATCGGTTAAAAACTATCGCGCGTAATAATAAATGAGAGAGAGAGAGAGAGAGAGAAAAAATGAATAACAAATGATAAAAAGAAGTTTTAATTAACAAGTTAATTAGAACGTATATTTGATTGCAAATTAATATTAAGTTACAATATCAAATCAAATTACAAATACTAATGCTTGCAATATTAAGGAATTTAAATATCTGACAAAGTTTGATTTTCGAAATATATCGTGTCGTCTGTAATATTTACTTCTAATTACGTTACGTCACATCGGGCGCGCGATCTCAGAACAAATTACAAACTTTCGGAAATTAAACCCGGGAAAAGTTAAATATTCCTGAGGGCATTAGTCCTTATGGGGATTAATTTCTTATCAGTGTCCTTTCAACGAATTCTGTCAATCCTTCGATCCGTCTCAAACAACTTCTTTATATTATACTTCGCCGATAGTCCACGATTAACCCAATTCGGACTCGGTGTAACGACGGAGGAGGCACGTCCGAGAAAAACTGCGAACGGATTACACCGATATCGAAAAGTTTTGGTAGCTCGATATTATCGTCCCCGTTTGCGAAAAGCAGCGTATTCGAGCGAACGCTTTCCAGATATCCACGTCGACGACGAGAAGCTTAAATATTTTTCGCGTGCAAGTGGAACGTTTTTTTCTTTTTTTCGCCCCGTTATCAGACTTTTTCTTTGGACGAGGAAACGTCGTAGCAGAAGCGAGTCACCAGCGTTACGAAAATAATAGAATCCCACTAGAGAATCGAGAACGTTTTATCTTTTCTTTATTTTTCTTTCGCTTTCCCTTTCGTTTCCGACCTGCCATCCTATTTCGCTCTGATTTAAATCTCACCAACTTCCAAACTTGTTCAAGCTCGGGATTCGAAGGTAGTTAATTAATGACGGACAGACGTGCGACGTTAGATTGCTTTGACTGATTAAGTCACACCTCCACTTCCTCTTTTCGCCAGTTTCACTTTGTCGCGTGAAAGAATAGAATAAATTGAACTTGGTGGTTTAAAGCGAGCTTTGAAGTCAATTTTCCTTTTTTTTTTTTTTTTTTACAGTGGCGATTCTTACAAGCACGAAAATACAAAATAATAGTAATCGTCGAAACGTTAAGAGCCGCAGAGAATTTCTTGAATTGAACTTGAATTGACGTGGGAAATTTTTTGAAGATAGAGAAGTCTTGGCATTTTGTGTTTAGAAGAATATATTTTTGCTGTTAGTCGACGATTGACCATCTGGGTTACGCTACATTGTTCGCGATGATTCTCGCTTCACGGAGAAACGTCTCCGCGAAGTTTCTCGGAAGATATAAACGCTGAAAGAGAGTGGTAGTTAGGGTCACGATGTCTTTCAAATCTGTATCGTCTGCCTAACGAACCTTCGCTCATGTTCATCCCCGTTTTGATGGTGTTTCGTACTCTGGGCATTGCAAACGGTCTCGCAAAGTGCCGAAATCCCAAACATAACGACGAAATTGCGAAATATTAAAGCTCCGAGTGTGAAAGCCAAATTTTCAAATTTCGCTGTTTGCCGTCGTGGTGCGGGAAATACTGCACGCCGAAGTTTTGAAAATTACTGTGCTCTGTAAGACGAGAATGTTAAAACTTCGAATGTAGAATCGACTTTACAAAAGCTTTGCAAAACGAAGCAAGATATTAAAAGTTCCGTGTACAACGTCGTGAAAGCTGTAAAAATACTCCGAATTTCACGTTTATTGGTGACAATTGCGACATTTTTAAATTACCATTTCTTGGAACCAGAATGTTGCGAATCTTACGTAAATCATACATACAAAATATATGAATTTGAGCCGCCAGTTAATCACCTCTGCTATTTTTAGGTTAAATCTTTACGAGTTAAAGAAAAAAAAAAAAAACTTAACAGAATGGGTTAAGTTTTAAGCTCAAAATGATTTAAGTTCTATCCATTGTATGAGTGTATTGAAAAATTACTTATGGGGTTAATGCAAAGAACAACAAAGTCGTCGCAACGTCGCGAAAAAGAAAGCACTTATAAAAGCGTGGAAGTTTGCCGAGTCTCGCTGAGAAACTCGTTGGAAGTTTAATTAAAATTAACTAAAATTAATCGGAGATTCAGTCGAGTTGGAGATGACCAGGCGCTTATAATTATGAAACTCCGTTATTTCTGCTGTCTGCGGAACGAGTTGGGAAAGTAGGAGAAATTAGTTCCCTGAA